CTGGCAACAAATCAAACATGCCAGCATGCATACTGGTGACCGAGTGTGGCGTTTTCCCTTGTGGGAGTACTATTCGAAGTGTGTAAGAGCGGGCGGAGCGACCGATGTGCAAAATTATGGTATTGCTCGTGGTGGACGTCCATGCAAAGCAGCTGCTTTCTTGAGAGAATTTGTACCGTGTGGACAATGGATACATATCGTAAGATAATCGCATAATTAAATAAGACTTTAGTATATATCTAAATTTTTCAGGATGTCACTAATGTCATGGTAACCAATGGTAAAACTTTTGAGTACATACGCAAAGGTATGGCGGGCAGGCCCACACGCACATTGATTGAATTTATAGCGCAGACAATCTGTAAGGATACGGAACCAAAATTGAAGCAAAAAAAGTAGGTGATCGTGAGACTACGAAAGCGCGGCAAGCTTCTTGAGCTATATCGTTTCGTTAAACAATGCCACTTCTGTCAGAGACTTAGCCATCCAATACCATTATCATATAATTTATATTCAAAGAAAGCAATTTTGTTATAGAAATGGTAACATACATTGTAATACGATATGTGTTGTAAAACATAAGGAACTGTCTTTTTATTAATACAGATTCTAGAAAGTATTCTAAAATACATTACACTTAAGGATAACTAAAGGATTAAATTCATTGTCACTTACCACGGGGGCGATCATTGCTTTAAACCTATCGGCGAAACGATTTTATTCGGTTAAGGGGTTACATGGGTTTTCTCGGGTAAAAAGCAGCCTTTCTTCAACAATGAATCAATGAAAATTGGATTTTTGGCAGACATTTTTCCAAAAAATAAATGAGAAATTCAGCGAAAATTTCGGGACATTTTTTTCGAATAGTTGTAATCGAAAAAGATTCTTCGTCCAAGTCTTTAAGAATTCTATCTCAAAGACCTTTCATGAAGATCGATTCAGTAGTTCTCGAGAAATGTTGCAAACCGACTTCAAAAACACAGTTTCGAAAAAAAAACGCGTTTAAAGACGGCGCAGTTAGCCTAGCTGGCCTCGAGCACACAAGTTCTCAAGGCAGGTTCTCCGAAAGAGGACAATATTTTAGAGGTGTTATAGAACTTAATAATAAAATAAAAAAACAAATTTTTTGAAACCCGTAAATCCATATAACCCCTTAAAGTTTACATACTATACATATTCAAATTATTGCTGATCTTGCAGTTTGAGTAGTTTTCGAGTGCCATCGTTAAAAACCATCTTTCTCGATTGAGTTTCGTTAACAACCTTCTAACAAACATAGAAACATACATACATTTGTAGTAGACTTTTAAACGTAAAATGTAGGACTGGTTTTAAATATAAGAAAGAAGTAGCACATGATTAGAAGGGAGAGCGTTAGCGAAGGTCTGCTTCCACGACATTCGGGTCTGAGTAACAGTAAAGGACCGGGATTTTATCCAACCAAGAACTACATTGCTCGAAATTACTTAAGGGATGTTTTCGACAGCTGCAACAACAACGTAGTGAAACTGAAGTCGTAATACTCCCAAAGATCGTTTGAATAGCTATAATAAACCCTACATTGTATTGAGCGAGGGATTATCAGCTTTGGGGAAGGTATGGACTGATGTTTTCTGTATGAGTGCGAGGTCATTAAATATATTTTATAAATAAATCTTACTGAGACGTTCCATTATAAAGGGTTACGATCAACTGCAGCGAAATTCAGTGAGTTTTGCTAATTTTACCTCACACTTAATACTTGAGAACACTAAGTGTGCATGTAATAAGATTCCAACTTATTTTTCGATCGATTGGTGGTTGGTTACAATGTTTTTACGAGTACAAATGAAGGAATGTGCACAATTTCTTAGTAGCTCAATTTATGGATCATAAAGTCAAGCTGTGACACTTTTAAAGCTTCGTTTTCAAACCTAAAATTGTGGAAACAGAACTTTTCCCAAGGATTTCAAGCTTATCTTGTCAAATTTTGCACTTCCAACTTTAAAAAGAAATTTTAGGTTTGGGTTGAAATTTTATAAGCTGCACGCAGTCGCGAATACAGTAGCATACCTAGGTCATCCAGCACACTTTTCGCTTACAACGACCCCTTTACATACAAATGTATTTCTATTTGAAACGTTGTAATACTTTACCAGCCAGTAACCCGAAATATTTCCAATCGACTATACATAGAGAAAATTTATTTGTAGAATTTTTTTAAATAAAATTTTCTTGCTTAAAAATATATGTAAATCTATTTAATAAAAATATTCGCGATTATTTTTAATAGAATTTTTTTTTATCTGTATACTCAAGCCGATCACAATGTTTGGTCTACTGCGTCCCAAATCATTCGGCAATGTATTTAAATCAGTTAGCCGCATCCTGCCGCAGCTACGTACGTACGTCTCACCGGCTATAAATCAATTGTTGCAATTGCAACAAACCGAAATATGTGCCGATCCACCGTCACGTGGTTTAATATTGGGCGTCTATGCCGACGAGGACGATAAGACGGATGCGGGTGTCTTGACGCCGTCTGCTTGGCGGTATAATGTACAAAAGACAGCTGGCCGTCTATTGGAGGTATTGCGCATGTCGGGACCGATGCCGAAGCGTGGTGAAGCGCGTATTTTATTTGCTGTTGAACCAGACAAAGTACCCTACTACTCAGCTGTGGCCGTTGTGGGTTTAGGTAAGGAGTGTTTAGGCTATAATTCATATGAAGTGCTCGATGAACAAAAGGAGGCGATACGTAGATCTGTGGCCAAAGCGGCTATGGAGTTAGCGTATCTTGATACCGAAAAGATTGAAGTTGAGAATTGTGGTCATGCCGAATCGGCTGCCGAGGGTGCTGCTCTAGGTATATGGGCCTATCAAGAACTAAGAGAAATCAAGCGTCGTATAGTCGTTCCGGCAATCGATTTATACACGCACAAAGATGAGCTTTGCGATATTGAAGGCTGGCGAATCGGTTTGCAAAAGGCAGCTGCACAAAATCTAACTCGACAGTTACAAGAAATGCCGTCTAACTTACTCACGCCCACCGCATTTGCACAAACAGTTGTCGAGGTCCTATGTAAGTCGGGTGTAAATGTCGAGGTGAAGGTGGAGGGCTGGGCCGAATCTCAATCTATGCACGCTTTCTTATCGGTGGGTAAGGCCTCTTGTGAGCCACCAATTTTTCTGGAGCTGAGCTACTACGGCACATCGGCCGAGGAGCGTCCAATAGTTTTGGTGGGGCAAGGTATCACTTATGATTGTGGTGGTCTCTGTTTGAAGAAACTACAGGAATTAGTTCATATGCGTGGCGACATGACGGGTGCGGCTGTGGTAGTGGCTGCATGTAGAGCCATTGCAGGTTTACGTTTACCGGTAAGCAGAAGTCTGTAATTACCTTAATTTTGACGAGACCATGAATTTTGTTTATTGTTTTTGTTGTTAATAGGTAAACATACGTGGTTTAATTCCACTTTGCGAAAACGTTATGGGCTGCAATTCGTTCCGACCCGGTGATATTACCAAAGCCATGAATGGCAAACATATCAAAGTTCAGGGTACAGATCATGAGGATGTGCTAGTGTTAGCCGATGCGCTTTTGTACGCACAAAATTTTTGCCCCAAWTTTATTGTGGATATTGGTACAACTTCGGGAATGATGCGTAACGCTTTGGATGAAGCTGCTTGYGGCGTCTTCACTAACTCGGAAATTCTCTGGCAACAAATCAAACATGCCAGCATGCATACTGGTGACCGAGTGTGGCGTTTTCCATTATGGAATTTCTATACTAAGCAAGTAACATCAGGTGGGTCAAGCGACGTGCAGAACTATGGAATGGGACGTGGTGGACGTCCATGTAAAGCGGCTGCTTTCCTGAGAGAGTTTGTGCCATGTGGTCAATGGATGCATATCGTAAGAACTTATGGGTACTAATTACTTTTTTTAGTCACTATACACATTTCTCATACAATTTCAGGATGCCACTAACGTCATGGTGACCAATGGCAAAGCTTTCGAGTATATACGCAAAGGTATGGCAGGCAGGCCCACACGCACTTTGATAGAGTTCATAGCACAGACCATATGTAAAGATACAGCGCCTAAATTGGGCGTCAAAAAGTAGGTGACATCAAGACTAAGCAGTGAAGACGGACTGAGAACGGATGAGTGATTGTATATTATTTTTCAAAAATTGATGTGTGTATTGTAACGCGTATTCGTACCGTAATTCGTAAATTGCAAATGCAAATTAACTGTTCAAATATGTCTGCTAATAATAACTTTTAGTGAATAAATATAGGGCAAGGCCCCGAATATATTTTGTATAAAAGATATTGAACAATGGAGTGTTTTTAATATTATTATTTTTCAAATTCAAAATCATACTCAAATAAAAATCGAAGGAATAGGATTTTTGATAGTATTGTAATTTCGATTTTTTAAGCAACTCGAAAGTGCAAATTTTATTAAGAAACTTTTGTAAAACTATTTTGTCAAAAATAAAAAGTTTGAATATTCATATTGTATTCATATATCTTTTTTTTTATCTTTTCGTATTCGGATTGGCGATAGAAAAATCTCTAGGAGATCGCTACAAAATCAAGGAAATTCAAAATTTTACAAAATGAATCGCTGATCTAAATATGCAGTATTTTTTTTATAGATTTATTAAAACTCTCTTCAAAAACGAACAAAGACGTTGTTTCTGACTTGCATGTAAATACAACAGCTTAAGTGAAACATAAAAATTATTTATAACTTGTTCATTGGGTAAAAAATATATTAAAAAGATAAATATTTATTTATATTAAATGAACATTTCGAGTAAAATGATTTGAGTTATTTCATATATAGTACATATAGCATAGCTACTATAAATCTGTGTATATAAATTATAAATGAAGATTCTTAAAAGCTAGAAAAATGTATTTTTTAGGTTATAACTAGTGTTTGCCTTACAAGATTGGCGGGTAAAAATTGGCTTGGGATGCGTATTATATTTCCTCTTTTTTTTACGAATTAATTACAATCTGTATCATCCATTTAAAGATACAGCGTGAGACAACACTGTGTTGATATCGATAGGCGGATAATTTTGCAACAATTTTACATTTGATGCAAAATCATTTTGAAGTATGAGTTCTCGTTGTATTCTGAAATTATTGAGGAAAAACAAAATTTGTTTATCTACAAATTCATCTAAATGTTAATAGCAACAATGAAATGTCAAATTGGGATTGGAAAAATGAAGTAATTGACAGTATAAAGCCATAAACGCTATGATAATAGTTGGTGTGGTGTGTAAATGTAATAGGCAAAAAATAACTTACAAAATCATTGAACAACATATTCTTATTAGGAATTCGAAACGGTGCTCGTCGGAGAAAACAGAATCCCATATGCGCACAACATCGGGTAATGGAAATTCTTGTGATAACAGCAAAGTTATCCATCTAAAATATAGTGTTGTAGGATAATCAGATAATTTCTGAAAGCAATTTTTAAATTAAAACTGTTATTAGTAAAATAATTACCTAAAACTATAGTATTGTGGATGCAGTTCTTGTTCTTTTAGTTTATTATAGACTTCAGGATCCTTTTCTTTAAGCATATTAGCTAGTTTTGCCATCATAAATTTTATACCGCCTTCAGAATCGTCGAGTGTTTTTATAAAAAAATCGCGTATTTCACTCATCAAAGCGGTAAAGCAGAAAAAACAATCGGCTTCAGCATATTCTAAGGGTTAGCAAAAACATTTATTTTTAAGTAACAAAAAGAAGACAAAACATTAAATAACACTCACTTCGGTATTCCAGATCAGGATCAGAAGCCATAATATAATATATTGGACCAACAATCTCATTCATGCCTTGGACATAGCCTTGTCCTGGATTTAGTTTTGCATAAAGGAAGAGAATGCGCTGCACTACTTCCCAATGTGCTTCCAGCCCTTCCTCCATTGCCACGTAATTTTCATTTGAACGCTTTGTTATAAGATTTATCTATAAGTTTGAAAAGTATTAGTCAAAACATACTGTGGTCACAACTACAATAAGAAATGATTTGAGTTTGCAATTACCTGCTACTTATAGTAAGTCAGGAAAGCATGACAAGATATAAACATGTTTTACGTTAGTTTTTTGTTTGTTCTTCACATAACACCTACATTCATATATAAATATATATCATAAATATATAACTTACCTTTGTAATTCCTAAGCCCTTGCGTTCTACATTTGCTGAGCTCAACATAGTAGGGACAACACGTTGATGCAATCTTCGTTCCCCTTTGCTATGCACCACAATGTCACAAGGGTATTCAGTTGCTTGTTGGAAAAACGATATATCTGGACATAAGCGTCGAACATCTTTGTCGATTTGCAAGAGGAATTCATTGTCTTGGAAGAATGTGTTCCAAGCGCTTTCAGGCCCCTCACTTAAAGGGTGATCATTAAGTCCAGTATTTGTATTATCTTGATTGTCGTTTCCATTCAGACCAGGTGGTAGTACTAATTCTTCTATGAATTGACGATATAATGCTCGTTTTTTGCTAAGCGTTTCAGTCCATGTGCTCCGTTTAGGTCCTAGGTAGCCGAGAAGTATTTTCCAACAAGTTGTCCTGAAACTACCAATGTCAGGTATTCCTATATATAAGAAATTTATTATTTCGTTTCTTAAATTATATATGTACATATTTAGTTTAAAGCTTACCATAAAAACAAAGGTTTCGCAGTGCATTTATGTCAATGTCGGGACCTTCTAGTGCTTCCTCAAATTCTTTAACACTTTTAGAATAAATTTAGTCAGTTTTACATCGGTTTGATAACAAATTTACATATATCTATGGTGCTTACCGTGCTTTAAACATTGACAATAAATTATGTTTTTATGTTTTTTAAAAAACTCTAAACTTTCACTTTTATTTCCTATAGGGGGAGGCGTTGTTTTGATGAGACGTTTTGTTATAATTCTTTACAGATTTTGCTCCAGGTGTCATAGCGCACAGCTGACGAATTAGGAACCAAAACATATAGTCCGCGAATTTCACTTAAAAGAAACATAGGAAATGTGGCCACATCAAAAATTCACATAAATTTAGAGGTCACCCTGTGGAGCAAATTTTCATAGACAATACCCTACAAGATCTTTAAGCGTAATTTGTGTATATCTCTATATAACCGTAATAATACTGCGCCCGCTACATTCCTCTGAATGGAAATACTTATTTTTACAATAATAAGAAACATTTCTTATAATAACTGTTTTAAAAGATTTGCAAGCTGTTATGTTTAAAATTAAGCAGCTGGCATTACCATATTGATAGGAATCAGCTGAGTAAGAAACATCATCAGGAAACGTGTCAGTTGATATTTGCAAGAAATTTATTATTTTATTTTAATTAGCACTTATCTTCTTAAATCATTCTGAAACACAAAAACCGAAATTAAAGCAATGAAAACACGCTTTAATACATATGATATAGTTTGTGGTGTCACCGAGTTGCAGAAGTAAGTTTTAGATAAACTTGTATGAATCATATATGTATGTATGTATTAATTTTCGTTGCTTGAAGCTTGGTTGGACAACGCGTAAATCAAATCTATGACATCGACAACAAAACATATTTGATACGATTTCAAGGAGGCGAAAGTAAAACAGTGCTCTTAATTGAGTCTGGCATACGATTTCACACAACAGCTTTTGAATGGCCAAAGAACGTCGCGCCTTCGGGCTTCAGTATGAAACTGAGAAAACATCTAAAAAACAAACGTTTGGAAAAGTTGGAACAACTAGGCATGGATCGCATAATTGATTTGCAATTTGGTACTGGCGAAGCTGCATACCATGTTATAGTTGAGCTTTATGATAGAGGCAATATTATACTCACTGACCATGAGCTTACAATTTTGTATATTCTGCGGCCACATTATGAAGGTGAAGAAGTACGATTTGCAGTTCGTGAAAAATATCCTTCAAATCGTGCGAAAGAACAAGCTGTTGACTTAACGGAGAATGATGTGCGCACTTTGATAGAAACCGCAAAACCCGGTGACAATTTGCGACGTTTGCTAATGCCGAAAGTGGATTTTGGACCGGCAGTGATAGATCATGTACTACATAAATATAAACTAGATAATTGTATAATTGAAAAGAAAGAAAATCCAAGTACGGCCGCAGAAGAAGAAACTACAACACAACAAGTTGAAAGTGGTGGTGGTGGAAAAAAATCGCGTAAGCAAAAGAAAAGGGAAAGCAAATCAATGAACATGCGGAATTTCGATATTAATACCGATTTAGCCACGTTGGTTCAAGCAATACAGGTAACATATTATATTATATATACAGTTTGAAATTTTTCTGTATGTATAATTTTTTTTAGGAAGCTACTCGGATCTTTGCTGAAGGCCGCTCGTCTGTGTCGAAAGGTTTTGTTATACAAAAACGGGAGGAGAAACCTGCAACTACCGTCGATGCCGCCAAAGAGGATTTTTATCAAAATATCGAGTATCATCCCTATCCGTTTGCACAGTTTGAAGGACAACCACGAGCAGAATTTGCAACATTCATGTTGGCTGTGGATGAGTTTTATTCTACACAGGAAGCGCAAAAAATCGACCTGAAAACTTTACAACAAGAACGAGAAGCTTTGAAAAAGTTGTCCAACGTTAAAAATGATCACGCAAAGCGTCTTGATAATTTAACCAAATCTCAAGAAGTTGATAAACAAAAAGCCGAACTTATAACCTGTAATCAAGAGTTAGTTGAACACGCAATAGCTGCTGTTCAATCGCTCATTGCATCACAAATGTCATGGCCGGACATTGAAAAAGTGGTCAAAGAGGCGCAAGCTGATGATGATCCCATAGCTGGGGCAATCACAAAACTGAAATTAGAAATTAATCATATTTCATTGCGACTCTCAGATCCTTATAAAAATGAGGAAGATGACGATAATAATGAGGACAGCACTGACGGTTTACCAACGCTAGTGGTCGATGTGGATTTGGCGCTATCAGCTTGGGCAAATGCAAGAAAGTATTACGATCTGAAACGCTACGCCGCGAAGAAAGAACAGAAAACAATCGATGCTTCAAACAAAGCCTTGAAATCAGCCGAACGCAAGACACAGCAAACATTAAAAGAAGTGCGCATAATATCCACAATTTCGAAGGCGCGCAAAGTCTACTGGTTTGAAAAGTTTTATTGGTTTATTAGCTCTGAAAATTATTTAGTCATTGGTGGCAGAGACGCACAACAAAACGAACTGATTGTGAAACGGTAAGTTCTTTTTATACTTTTTTTTTATTTAAATATATACTTACGTATAAATTGCGCTTGCTTGCAGTTACATGCGACCCACAGACATTTACGTGCACGCTGAAATTCAAGGTGCCTCAAGTGTTGTCATACGAAATCCAACCGGTGCTGAAGTGCCACCAAAGACATTATTAGAAGCTGGCACGATGGCTATATCATACAGTGTAGCTTGGGATGCCAAGGTGGTGACTAACGCGTACTGGGTGCGTAGCGATCAGGTCACTAAGACGGCGCCCTCTGGTGAATATCTAGGCACTGGCAGTTTCATGATACGTGGCAAGAAGAATTTTCTACCATCCTGTCACTTGATAATGGGTTTAAGTCTGCTATTTAAGTTGGAGGATAGTTTTGTAGAGCGACATCGTGGCGAGCGAAAATTGCGTACTTTCGAAGAGGAACAACACGCACTGGAGGAGCAAGAGCAGCGTTTGAAAGAGTTGGGGCTAAATGAAGATGTCGAAATAAATTTGGATGAAGAACTCGAACAGAATGAAAAATTGCAAGAAGATTTGAAAACAAAGCAATTGGAGACAGTCGATGAAAACGCTGAAGATACGGATTCATCAGAAGACTCAACCAACTTTCCAGATACTCAAGTAAAAATTGAACACGACACTGGACGCATAACTGTACGTACCGATTCTGTTGTGGAATCGACCACCGAGGATGCTGAACAAGCGAAAACCACCGGCAGAGCCGTTGTAAAGCAAGAGGAAGAAGAAGCAACCATAATACCGGCCGCGGCACCACGTAAAAAACAACAACAAAACGCTAAAAAGCGGAAAGAGGAAAAAGAACGTAAAACGCAACAAGAATTAAGGCAACAGCTACAAAATGCCGAAGAAAAAGACTCAAAAAATTCGAATATGAAGCGTGGACAGCGTGGTAAACTAAAGAAGATGAAAGCCAAATATAAGGATCAAGATGATGAGGAACGAGAACTGCGTATGAGGTTATTGAATTCGGCTGGCAAAGATAAAATTGATTTAGCTAAAAAGAAGGCCGAAGAAGAGCTGAACATGCAGAACACACAAAAGGAAAGGCGAAATTTTGCGCGCAAAGAAGAACCTTTCCAAGGTGCAGCCGAAGTGGATGACGATGATATGCCTGCCGGAGCCGATGTGGCCATGTTAGATGCGCTTACCGGACAGCCGCTTGAAGACGACGAATTATTATTTGTCATCCCAGTGGTGGCGCCATATCAAGCATTGCAAAATTACAAGTAAGAATTTGCCATATTTTACTAGTCTATAACATATTTTCAGAGAAGAGACGTTGCGAGCTTTTTCTTAGTCTTGGACTACCGGATCAGTGTAATGTTTTTCAGGCAATAGTGGTTAAGTTTTGTAGAGTAGAGAGTTTTGTAGATTGAATATGTCGGGGTATATTCTGAATAAGTAGGAGCTTAACCTGGAATAGTATCCAGAACGAAACTCCGCAAGGGTCACTCTCGTTTCTCGACGGCAGTGGGTGGTGGTTTGACTCCAAGTAAGCCATTCTCTGTAAGGGAGTCGGTGAAGGTGTTGTAATGGCGCCACTGTGAATGGCGGTCAGAGCTTGTCGTATGCTTGTTGAGCCTGAAGTCTGGTCGGCGTATTGTGATGTCGTCGACGTAGTTCAGGAGTGATCTTTTTACGCTCATAGAAAGCGGTTCCGCTGCAAGCAGGTGACTGAGAGTATGATATAGTGAAAGCATCCCAGCATGAACTGCTAACTAAAAACATCAAGCCACTGGCTGCTCCACTTGCCAGCCTTTCCAAGACCTAGGTTGAAACACGCGGCCTCTTTCCTTGGGCCTCCCAAGTGATATAACCGAAATTGACATTAGCCGTCTGAACAAATTTGTAATAGGCTCAAAATGCTTTGTCGATTTATGAGGGTCTTTATGATCATTATATGTACTTCGACCACTTAACCGAAATTAACCTATACTAAATGTATATAATACTTGCAGGTTTCGCGTCAAGCTCACACCTGGCACGGGTAAACGTGGACGTGCCGCTAAGACTGCCTTAACCATGTTCTCCAAGGATAAAAATTGCGGCACACGTGAAAAGGATTTGCTAAAAAGCATCAAAGAAGAAGCATTGGCGCGAAATATACCGGGCAAAGTCAAATTATCGGCACCACAATTGCAAAAATTCAAAAAGTAACGGGCAGATGAATGCCCGCAGTTGCTTGTACATAATTTTATGCTTAGGTAACTTCAGTGGCTTGCTGCACAATAAAAGCAATTTAAAAATAATTTCCATGATATTTAATGTTTGTTGATTTAATTAAATAGTATTATATGCTATTGATGTGCCGGTTTACAAGGAAATACCTATACAAATACAACTAAATTTATTTATTGCTGAATAAAAGATTGTTAACGGTAAATATGTATATATACCTATAAATATGTATTACTTTTATGTAATTTTGAGTACCTTAAACAGTACACAAGCACTGTGCAGTAAAATATCAAGTCGGCACAACAACAACGGCAAAATATCGAGACACATGCCAGAAGTGTACCTTCAACAAAGGTCACTGACAACTTATGAAGAATTTTATATAAAATTGGCATGTGAGGAATGAAGGCACAAGTGCCGATGACGGCCGCGATGATGGCAGTACTAGCTGTATATTTCACTTGAAAGTAGCCTCGCAACAACAACAGCAATTTGAAAGTA